ACATCAACCTCCATGGTTGCACACTTCAACTCACCAAGCCAGTCAGGAACCTCGGTGTCTTGTTCGACCCTCAACTGCCTTTTCATCCCTACATCCAAGCCATGACCCGCTCTGCCTTCTCTCACCTCCGCAACATCGCCCGACTCCGCCATTACCTCACCCCTCAGGCCCCTGAAACTCTTGTTCGTGCCTTCATCACCTCCAGGCTTGACTATGCAAACGCCCTGCTTGTCGGCCTTCCCAACTCCTCCCTCCACAGGCTGCAGATAATCCAGAACTCTGCAGCCCGTGTCCTCTCCTGCACCAAACTCTGTGACCCCATCTCCCCCATTCTCGCTCGACTCCACTGGTTCTCTATCCTTTAGAGGATCCAGTTCAAGATCCTGGTCCTCATATACAAAGCCCTCCATGGCCTCGCCCCACCCTGCATCTGCGACCTCCTAAACCTCTACCAACCCACCCACTCCCTCTGCTCATCCAGCTCCGGCCTGCTCCATGTTCACCGACCCACCCGCTCCACCATTGGCGGGAGAGTCTTCAGCCACTCTGCCCCCAACCTCTGGAATTCCATCCCCCAATCACTCCGCCTCACCTCCTCCTTAGCCTCCTTCAAGTCCTGCCTCAAAGCCCTCCTCTTCGACCATGCCATCGGTCACCCCCTTCCCCTCCCCTCCCTTCTCCCCCCCTGACCCCAGCTTGGGTCTGAAATGCTGTACACTGTCCAGTGCTTTGGGACATCCTCCCGACATGAAAGGCGCTATACAAATGTAATCTTGTTGTTGTAATCATCCCTTAAAAAATAATAATAATAATTTGGTCACTCAATCCACAACTGTTTGTGGGACATTGCTGTGCCCATTGGCTGCTGTGTTTCGCCCAAAAAATATACAGTCAATTCACTTTAAAGTATATTCTGTGAAGCCCTTTGAGATGTTTATTAAGATGTGATGAGGTGCTACATGAAAATTATTATTATAAGAAATGTATGTGTGGTATCATATGATAGTTATACAATAATCATGTTCAAATCTCTCAATGGACTTGCCCCATCCTACCTCTGTGATCTTCTGTAATCACACTGATCCAACCATTCCCTTTGCTCAGTGAACACTGGCCTGTTTCATGTCCCCCACCCTATCCACCTCACCATTGGTAGGTGGGCTTTCAGACATTCTGCCACCGCTTTCTTGAACTCCATCCTGGAGTCCCTCCAACTCACTCACTCCCCACATTTGATGCCAGTCTCAAAATGTATGTCTTTAACCACGCTTTCAGTAATTGTTCCTCTTGCCAACCCCTTTGGCTCCCAACCCCATTTGGGTGCCCATCCAGGCTTGCGCTTTGAGATGTCCTCCCAATGAAAAATTATATATATTAGGTATTATCATATTATATCATGGGATCATCTGTTCAGAAGATGACTGGGACAGATGGGAGTTTCCAGCACACATAAAATTATATTTAGAAAATCCTTTGAATATCTTTCAATATTTACTTTGATTATTAGAACACTTGAAATTAGTTAACTAAAATATTCGGTAACAAAAGGAAATGAAAACTAAAGGAAAAAACTAAAAACTAAAAAACTAAAGTAAAATCTTTTACTTAAATTGTTCGTAAAGTTGACCCATTTATATTACAGCACATATGATGTCAAAATATATCTTTCCAACTGAAGAAACTTCTGCTTGGATCAATATTTCCATGGCATGGACATCAAAGTCAGATAATTGTTGTTTAGATGTGTCTCAGGGTTATGAACATCACAGGAAGGAAATAAATCTGATTTATCATGGATTTTAAATCCAGTTACCTTTGATGTCTCTGCAAACATCACTAGAGAGATTCGGATAAAGTAAACCCTTTGTCCAATTTTAACTAATTCTTCCAGAATGCTGGCTTTACTATCTACACTGAAACTTGGAGTAAATCAATGAACTTATCTTGGTTTTGAGTATGTGGTGTTGCTTTGATGATGCAAACACTCCACTGCATCTTCCTTCTAAGACTATCCTACATGAAGGGCGCTATATAAATGCAAGTTATTCGTTCAACAAGATGAATGAAGGTGAGGTCAAAGAAGCAGGTCTTGAGACAGAACTGAAGGAAGTGAAGGAAGGTGGTGAGGCGAAGGGATTCTGGGATGGAGTTCCAGAAAGTGGGGGAGAAAAGACTGAAAGCCCAACTGTCGATGGTGGGGTGGGCAGGGCAGGACAGGGTAGGGCACATGAAGCATTCCAGTGCCTGCCAAGCAAAAGGAAGTGTTTAAGAAGGTTACAGAGATAGGAGGTGGCAAGACAATGATGGGATTTAAAAGTTAGCATGGGGATCTTGAATTTGACCTTCTGGGGGATGGGGAGCCAGTGGAACTGGGCAAGAATGGGGCTGATAGACTTGTTTTTACTGTGCAGGAGAGGACATGAGCTGAAGTGTTTTTGATGGTTTGTAGCTTGTGGAGGGAAGATTAGGGAAATCCAGTAAAGCAGAGAATGGCGTAGTCTAGCATAGATTTGATGAAAGCAAGGAAACTATAGTAAACCAATATTAATTCTGACCTTTCCATTTCTTTATGTCATTCAGTTGATTCAAACCTTGTTTCTCTGAGTCTCTTGATACTAGATGACCTGGGAAGCTACCTCTTGTCAAGTGTGTTACTTGCTTAGCACGGGGTGGAGACGACTGCCCTGTGCAACCAACAGCTACTTGAATTGCTTCATAATTTATCAAGACATGCAGAATTGTCTTTAATGCTCCTTTATTTAATGAATAATATTACTTATCACCATGACATGTTTACCTAGAAATACACAGTCACAACACATGGCAGCAATTACCAGTGAAGGCCACAGAGACATTTCATGTTATACGCACTATAATAATATAATAATAATCCTTGCATTTGATATAGCTATATAAAATACTACGGGTACGTATGTATGCGTGTGCGTGTGTGTGTATGTATGTATGTGAAGTCTCAAACAGGTTCACACAATTGGATGTGATGAAGTGTAGTGATTATGTAACAGCTAATGTGTCGCAGCAATTTCCTATCAACAACAGCAATGAGATGAATGACTGATTGATTAATCTTGTTTTGGTGAATTTAGGTTTCACATCAAAATTCGTTATTCCATAGCTGGATTAAAGTCTTTGGATTTATTTTAAGGCTTCATTGAAACACTTTACCAGTATTAGGTATAGGGCTGCTAAATGAGCGTAAACATAAAAGTCTTCACATTAACACTGTTCAGCACTGCCCAATTCTGGGCACTGATGCAAATGTCAGGCACACAGGAGTATTAAAAATGCTTTACACTTGTTTTTAATGCTCTGAGGAATTCCCTTTCCACATCAATATTTTGAGAAGAAGAATGCTTAATCTTTTGTTTGTTTAATTGTCCTACTTTCGTCAAGCAACAAAACAACAGTCAAGAATTTTACTGTATTTTGTTTCCAGATAGAAACTGGATACCCGACCCCATCAGCAGTTAAAAACAAGAAGAGTTTGTTCATCTTTATGTTTACAGGAACTCTGTGATACATGTTAAGATCAGAACTTTAAGTTGGCACAAGCTGAAAAATGCTCTAAAAAGTAAGGGGCATGATCCTGCCAGAATTCTTCCCCTGTCTCGTTCTTCGATTATTATCTTTGTAGCACTGTTCAAAGAATAAGAGAAAATAAAGATTGAGTGCACTGATCCTTTGATTAGACCACTGGTCACAAGTATGCATGTCTGGCTTGCATAAATGATGGCTTAATTTTTCATTACAGCAGTCAGTCTATTTTACACATGCAATCTTTTCTCAGCTCCTTATTGACTATGTGGTTGAAAAAAATTCAATGCATTCCATCCTCTCGTTAAGCTTGCCTTTGGACCCATATGAAAATGACATGTGGTGAAATATTACTCAGAAAGTATGTTTTATGTGATTTCTTTACTAAGGAAATCTCGTTATAAGCACCTGATAGAAAGTTCATGACCGATGTTATTGATCAGAACACGTTAGACAACTTTTGTTTTGGATTTTTTATATATTTTTTTCTCCCCACAAAGATAGCCGTCTTGGTTAATAGAGCAGGACTGTCAGTCTTCCAACCGTCTCCACATGTGCCTCTAATTCTGTGAGGAACTGTAGTTCAGTGATGTGGAAAAGGACTCTCCCTTCCTTTCAGACAGTTTTCCTCCCCTCCCACGATGACCTGTCTGAGATTGACAAGACTCACACCCCAGGGAAGTTTGAACACAAACAGCAATTACATGTAGGATTTTACCTCCCGTGATCATTGTCCTAAAATTTATGATTATATGGAATTTTGAAAAAGTATGAATTATAATTTTGACTGGGAACGCTTCAAAAAAGGAAGGTAGTTCCCTGTGACATTCATGACAGCAATTTCTTCAGATTAATTGATCATTCACCTCATAGCTGTTAGTAAGATTGTAACGGCACAAATGGCTACTGAGTTTCTCTAAAAAAATCACTGCACTTGTTTGCAATTATCTGTTTGCATTTTGAAGTGTTTTAATAACACATTTCTTTGATATAGCACCTTTCACAAAAGTAGGGTGTTTCAAAACATTTCACAGGATTTACTGTAAAGTGCAAGCACAGTGTATCTTATTGAGTAATGTTGCAGCCAATTTGCCCTCAGCAGCATTCCACAAACAGCATTGAAGTAAATGACCAATTTTATGATTGTTGGCCAGGATACTGCAAGAAACTCCTTTTTTTCCTGAATAGTGTTATGGGATCTTTAACTTCCACAAAAGCAGGCAAACACGACTTGGGTTTAGTGTCTCATCTGAAAGGCAGTACCTCCACAATTCAGCAATGTCAGTCGAGAATGTGAGTTGACAGTCTTGATATGGAGCTTGAATCCCAACCTTCTGGCTGGGAGGCAAGAGAGTTATCAATTGAGACAAGCTTACATCTAACATGGCACTGTTTTGACATTACATAGCATTGTAAAAATACAACTTATTTTTCTGTTACTACAGAGTCGCAACTCCTTATGGAGGCTTCGATAAGGCTTCCAAAGCCTTAAATTTCAAGATACCAAAGCTAGATTTTACATCACTGGAGCCTGAGCTTAGGTCTCCTTTGTTCCAAGATGGTGTTTCTCCTCGGCCAAGCTTCAACAGGACTGCCCAAGGCTGGACCTCTATCAACGAACCAACATTTATTGATCTGTCAATGGATATTGCCCTTCCTGAAACAGATGACCTCTAAAATCGTACTGTGCTCCTGATCATAACTGATGAGTCATCATCTTCCTTTAACACATATGGATGATAATGTGCTTCATGCTGCTATGATGATAATTCGCAATGAACAAAAATTAACCCTTTGAGATATGAGCATTTGCATAGTTTGTACATACATGTAATATTGATTTCATTAGAAAGTTCAAACATATGCCTAATGCTATAATGATTGCTACTCATAATCTTTGACACTGGATATCAATTATGGTATCCGAGACACTGTACATATTCTTTTCCTGCAAGCTAAAATAACTTATGTGAAAACTCAAAGGTAATGTGTGCAAAGCTTCGCATCAGTAACATTAGCCTAGAAAGGGCTTATTGCAAGATTTCTTTTGCTGACATGTACAATTTCTGTTTATTTAGCAGGTTAAGGGTCACACTATTTTGCTGAAATATCCAGTTTGATTGGCTGCTGTTCTCTTCTTTGTTCACTCCACAGCACTTGGGTCAATCATGTTGTCATCTCAGTTTCTGCAATTATAATAAATCAATCAGCTGCCAAACCTTCTCTATTCATTCAAAGACCATAATAATAAGGTTCTTAGTTTTTGCATACAAAATATAATAATAATAATCCTTGCATTTGATATAGCGCTTTTCACATCTTCTAGACGTCTCAAAGCACTTCACAGAATATACTGTAAAGTGAATTGACTGTATATTTTTGGGTCAAAACGCGGCAGCCAATTGCGCACAGCAGTGAGTGTCCTACAAACAGTCGTGGATTGAAAAATGACCAATTTATCATTGTTTTTTGTTCTTGGAGGGTTTATTATTAGGCGTGTGGAGTAAGGAAACTTGCCCAAGGTTTCGCCCTGCCTGGAATTGAACCCGTGTGTCTTGCTTGCAAGGGGAGTGCTCTAACCACTGAGCTACAGGACTCCATAAAATAAACAATCACTACACTTTATAATGAATCCAATGAAGTGCTTTGAGACATCCTCCTAATGTGGAAGGTGCTATATCATATGTAAGGATTATTATAGTTATCTTGCACTTTTCCTGCTTAATTTTTTCCTTTTCTTCATTTCTTTCCTGTCTCATCCCAGAGTACATTCCGTAGAACCATAGAACTTTACAGCAGAGAAAAAGGCTATTTGTGCCTGTGCTGGCTGTTTGAAAGAGCAGTTTATTCAGTCCCATTTACTTACATTTGCCTCATATCCTAAAAAAAATTTTTTTTGAATATCTATCTAGCTTCTGCTTAAAAACTAACATGCTGCAACAATCCTATTAACTCTGTGTAAAAGAAATCCTGCTAGTCCTCCCTTTTGGTAAATTCCGTTAATTGGTGCCTTTTGGCACTTTGTCCCATGTTCACACCGACAGATTCACATATAACAACACTCACATGCAACACCAACAACAACAACTTGCACTTATATAGCACCTTCCATGCCAGATAGCGTGTTAGAGCACTTAATAGTGGCAGTGCGTGACTCTGAGCCTGGGGTGAGGGGGGTGTGGGGAAGGGGGCGAGGTGACTGTAAGTATGGTCGAAAAGGAAGGTTTTCAGGCAGGACTCGAAAAAGGGGAGAGGGTGGGCAAGGTGAAGGGATTGAGGGTGAGTGTTCCAGAGTTTCGGGGCCTAGTGGCTGAATGCACAACTTCCAATAGTGGAGTGGCGGGGGTGAGGAATAAGCAGGAAGTGCTGGGTGGTGGATTGGGGAGTGAGGAGGTCGAAGAGGTAGGGAGGTGCCAGGGAGTGAAGAGATTTGAAAACGAGAGTGAGGATCTTGAAGTCTCTCCGTTTGGTAATGGTGGAACTTGGCCAGAACTGGTCCCCAAAATAACACATTTCATGGCTATTTGTGGGGCATTGCTGTATGCAATTGAGCTGCTGCAATTATCTGCAAATACACAGCCATTTCAAAGTATATCCTGTGAAGCATTTTGGGATGTCCTCGTGACATGAAAGTTGCTATACTAAATGCAAGGATTACAACAACAACTTGCCTTTATGCATCGTCTCAGAGAGCTTGTTATTGTTATTATTAATGACAATAATACCAACTGTAAGTTATCTTAATAGTTACAACAATCTGTTAACTATATCATTAAAAATGAGCTGAATACAAAACGATGCAGTAGAATACAAAACTCAAATATAATTGCAACAAACCACAGTACTGGCAGAGTACACCTTATGGCCTAACCATACATCAGAGCTAGAGCCAAGTAATACTCTGACTGAAACCATTCAATCCAGTCCTCAGATGAACCCTTGCTAGCGCAATACTTGCATGGAAAATCCTCCTTCACAGAAAGTTCTGATAACTCCCCCAAAGAGTTATCTATATGCTCCAACTGGAGAGGAATTGAAGAACAGAGGTGCATAAGAATTTGTTCTCAAGCCCTTTTAATCTCTTTATTCATAGAATCATAGAATATTACAGCATAGAAAGAGGCCAGTTGGCCCATCGCGCCTGTGCCAGCTCTTTGGAAGAGCTACCCCCTACTCTTTCCTACTCCCCTACTCTTTCCCCATATCCCTGCAAATGTTTCCTTTTCTTGTACCTATCCAATTCCCTTTTGAAAGTTGTTATTGAGTCTGTTTCCTAAACCTTTTCAGGCAGTGCATTTCAGACAGTAACAACTCTCTGTGTAAAAAAAAGTCTCCTCATCTCCTCTCTGGTTCTTTTGCCAATTATTTTAAATCTATGTGCCCTGGTTACTGACCCACCTGCCAGTGGAAACAGTTTCTTTCCATCTACTCTATCAAAACCCCTCATAATTTTAAACACCTCTTTTAAATCTCCCCTTAACGTTTTCTGCTCAAAGGAGAACAATCCTAATTATTCTTGAATGTCTTGAAAGATTCTTGTTCCTTGGGGGTGAAACGTTCCTTAACAGATCTGATAATTATGTGTTTTGGAACTTGCCTTGAAGTACAGATTTGGGTCCCTAGATCTTCCTAATGTTTTCAAAAAAACATACTTCCACACATGCTGTTGATGATGTTTATAAAATTACAATAAAATGGTTTATGGATCATGCAATCAATGAATCAAATCTTGGCCATGCTGAGTTTACTGGACTCAGCTCAGCAGATTAAATTGGCTACAGTCTTCCCAGGGTAGGAGGAAAATATCAGCTGGCTTTTCTGTTCCTCGTCCCACTTCAGCACTCTCCGCTGGTACTGTGCATATATGGCAGCCACCTGAAGAGAGGTGACTCTTCCTGCATTTGAGTGGCCTGCAGCATTCATTGCCAGGGTGGGGACAACCAGAATTAGGCTGCCCAAATAGAATTAAGCAGGTATTCATGGAAAGCACTTAGATGATTTGTGGATAGCAATTGCAATGGAAGCTATCAGCAGCTTCATACCTAACTATTATGGCTATCATATGGCTAACTTTCTTCACTTGAACATCAACAAGACCAAGACTCTCCTGACTGGCTCCTGTCAGCGCCTCCTCACTTCAGGCACCGACAGCATCACTATCCATGGTTGCAAACTGCACCTTGCTAAGCCAGTCCAGAACCTTGGGGCCTTGTTTGACCCTCAACTATCCTTTCTACCCCACATCTACGCCATGAGCCACTCTGCCTTCCCCCACCTCTGCAACATCACCTGGCGCTCACACTGTTTCACACCGCAGGCCGCCGAAACCCTCATACACACCTTCATTACATCGAGGTTCGACTGCAAACTCATTGCTTGTCGGCCTCCCCAACTCCTCCATCCATAGGCTGCAGATCATCCTGAACTCTGCAGCCTGTGTCCTCTTCCGCACTAGGATCCGTGACCCTATCACCCCCATCCTTACCCAACTCCACTGGCTTCCCATCACACAGAGGATACAGTTCAAGATCCTGGTCCTCACCTCCAAAGCCCTTCATGGTCTTGCTCCCCTCTACCTCTGCGACCTCCTAACCCCCTACCATTCAGCTCACTCTCTCCGCTCAGCTGGCTCTGGCCTGCTTCAAATCCCCCGCCTTGCTGATCCCACTATTGGTAGGCGGGCCTTCTGGCACTCTGCTCCCACCTTCTGGAACTCCATCCTACAGTCCCTCTGCCTCGCCCCCTCCCTTGCCACCTTCAAGACCCATCTCAAGACCTTCCTCTTTGGCCGTGCTTTCGATCTCCCTGCTTTCCCCCCCTGCCCTCCACTCTGCCCGACCCCGACCCCCAGCTCGGTCCAAAACTCTGTCTGTCCAGCACCTTGGGATGTCCTCCTCACAAATGAAATTTTGTTGTTGTTGTATTTTACTACAAAACACACAGTCAATACATTTTATAGTAAATCCTGTGAAGCTCTTTGAGATGTCCATTAGAAGCTCTTTGAGAAGCCAATTAGAACATGCAAGTCCTATTATTATTATTATTATTATTATTATTATTATTATTATTATTATTATTATGCCTCTTTGGATCTTCATCTCAGAGTCCCTCTGACTTGTTCCCTCCCTCTCCATGTTCAAAATGCATTTTAAGACATAACGCTTTGCCTGAACTTTCAGTCATCTTTCCCCTCCCTGCCCTCTTCAACTCCTACCTCTGGCTTGGATACGCAGACAGCAGTGAGAAGAAGATGTCAGTCTTGGCAATGAGTGCTGGCAAGCCACTCAACTGCAGAGAGAGTCATCTCTCTTAACCTGACTGCCATATGTGCACAGTACCAGTGAAAGGCACTAGATCAATGTACATTGTATTATATTGTATAAATAAATTGGTCACTTGGGTGTTGTCAACTTGTACAGTACATTTATAAACACTGGGTATAAAATGTGGACTAAATGCCACTGGGCAAACCATGTTTAAATGCATGCATTATTACTGGGGATTCTCTCACGCCTGTAGAATTCTCTACCATACCAACAATAGTAATTTTCTGTTACCTTGTCCTGATGTCCCATTGAAGAAAGAATTGCCATGTTTAACCACCTCTCCAACCTCCTTGCTCCCCAATCCACCACCCGGCGCCTCCGCTTTAGTGGCACTGGCCTTCTGCTTGTCCCTCACAACCATTGGAGGTCACATTTTCAGCCACTATGCCCTGAAAGTCTGGAACACACTCCCTCAATCCCTCCGCCTTGCCCCCTCTCTCCCCTTTTTCAAGGCCCAGCCTGAAAACTTTCCTTTTTGACCATGCTGACGGTCATCTCTCCCCCGGCTCGGAGTCAGGCTCTGCCACTGTTAAGCGCTCTGAGACACTATCCTGCATGGAGGGCGCTATATAAGTGCAAGTTAACATAACATAACGTGTAGGAGCAGGAGTAGGCCATTCGGCCCTTCGAGTCTGCCCCGCCATTCAATCATGGCTGATCTTCTAATCTAACTCCAGCTAATAACCTGACCCTGCCTTCTCCCCATATCCCTTAATCCCTTTTGCAATAAGAAATATATCTATTTCAGTCTTGAATATGTTCAAGGACTGAGCGTCAACAGCCCTTTGGGGTAGTGAGTTCCATACATTCACCACCCTTTAAGTGAAGAAGTTCTTCCTCAACTCAGTGAGAAAGGGCTGCCTCTGATTTTAAGGTTGTGACCCCTGGTTTT